TGAAAAATGCATTACTGTTTATGAAAACGTTTTGAAACGTTTTCCCTTATAGTATAATGAAAAGTTCAACGTTTCTGAAATGGGTTATTATTCTAATAATCAGGAAACTAAAGTTTTTTATAAAGAGTATAAATTTAATAATGTAACATATAACATTTAAAAAATGTAATTCTATTAATCGAAACGTTTCATAACTTTTCTCTGAATACAAAATTGATCAGCGTGACGTTAGATATATGTCTGATGAAAATATTGTTCATAAAACGTTAGACTATGAGGGCTGAGTTTAATTTCTAAAGTGTAACAATAATTTTGTCAATCAAAACATTTCAAAACATCTCTATTATATCAATGTAAGAGATTCAAATGTTGATTATGACAGTAAAGACAAATGGTTTTTTTTATTTCAAGTTTAAAGGAAATTAGTTTATGCCACAAACTCATTTTTATTTACTATATCTTTGTAACCCGATGTCTTAGACCATAAATATTGAAAAAAAGGTTTAAACCATCAAGTTGAAAAGATTACAGGGATAAGTATAATTGAAAAAAAAACTTAGTTCCTTTCTAAAGTATAAACAAGTTTTTATGTAACATTCTATTAGTGAAAATTCGAATCTTATAAATGTTTCTTGAATATTAAAGGTAGGTTCTTGATTTGCTATTGTTATAAATGAAACCCACTAAAACTCTGGAAAAGAAATCAACAAAAATCAACTTATTAAGTGGAACGGGTCTGTGAGCGTAACACAATGGCTGTGTTTCATATTTATTTGACTAATTGAAATCATAACTTCAGTTGGCATGGTTCATGTTTTAGGTTGAACACTTTAGAAATGTAGATACTTACTAAAAGGCAAAAATATTTATCAATTGGAAACTGCGTGTTATGTTTTGTTCAACAATAGATTTTTATGAAACTTTTTTTATAGAACAGGAAATGCAAAAGTGTAATGGAGCTTACTTATTTTCCACAACATTTACTAAAGCTTAATCGTTGTATAAGGTATTCAAGTGCAGAAATTTCAGTACGTAACGTTACACTATGCCATTAAATTTCATAATGTGAAATGTAATGTTTCAAACGTTTATACTTTTGATGAACACTTTCGTAAGGAAAGCTAAAATCTAGATAAATCAAAACATTGACATCTCTACTGTACACAGACCAATTTAAAAGTGATTTTATAACTTACTTTTTAACCCTATAAAGGTTGGGGGCTCTGAATCTATGTATAGCCTTGGGGGGGGGGGGGGGTTTGGNGATAGAATCTCAGTATACATGATTTATCATGCCTTGCTGCATGGGATAAAGTAAATTCCCTGTTAAGTATCTGTTTATAATTTTTAAGCTTTTTTCATCATTATGAAATAGGCATATTTTAATATACTTCTTTTGCTGTATATATATATATATATATAAATTAGAACAGGAAAAATACGAGAAATTTTATTTTGGGACACTCACTTAACTAGAAACTTAGAGGTCAAGGCAATTAATCACTTCCTTTTATCCAATCTACAAATGTAACAAAAAATTTGATTAACTGATATCGATTGGCAACTTTAATTCGTGCTGAAATAATTAAAGTGTAAAAAACAGATTTTTTATTCTCACCTTTTTATTTAATCAAAAGAGAATTTCTTAACAATGAATTTTTTTTCATGTATTTGCCACACACCAAATTTTCGAATCTCAATATGTTTGCTACATGATGGTGAACACCATTAATATTTCAAACTGGTTTGAAATTATTATGGTATACAACATTTGGTTTTCAAAGATTTAAGAATTAGAAAATCGGAGTTGGGGGCAAATACTCATTTCCTTTAAGATCTTCCTCATTCTACAAAAAATTGTTTTTTTTTAAACAGAGGAAAGGCTCTATAAGAAATTAAATTGAATTGAAAAGCTTTAAATAAAAATCTATTCCTAATATAAGAGTGTTTTCGTTGACCTTAAACAATTGAAAATGTCAATTAACATGACGTGTAATGTTTAACATGTTGAAACTGCAGTTGTTCAAAATATTTCAATCAAATTATAATGTTTGTTATACATAAATCATAGTCAAATAATTTGAACTTGCAAATGTGCCCCCCCCCCCTTCCATTCAGTAAAATTCTTTTTTTTTGTGTGTTTAAAAAGGGTTTCCATCAGAATTCAGGGTTACGGTTTACGTACGGAAATGTTCCGGAAATTTGTTCCATTTCCATTATGTAAAAGGTTCCAGAATTCTGGAACCATTACCATTTTCAATATAGAATTTCTTTAAGTCGTTTACTTTACATAACCTGGAAAATTTCCTAGCTACAAAATGAAATCTGGAAATTTTTTGGTTCACGTTACTTAATCCGGAAAATTCCTGGGTACAAAATGGAAATTTTACAGTTTTTAATCCATAAACCAGATTAACTCACCTAAACCGTAAACATTATGGTTTCCATTTGATCCGGAATTATCCCGGAATTCCACTTTACACAACAAATTTCTTGATCATTCCATTTTCAAAATGGAAATTTTGTTTCGGAATACTAGACATCCTAGTTTATTTATTGTTTATTTTTTTTAAAAGTTTATATTTCTTAAACAAGAATTTTACAAATCATAACAGATGTTTTTTTTGCAAAATAAAGTGTTTAAAGGGACTCTGTAAACCTAATTTCAACACTTTCTAACAGTCACATTAAGTACAGTTACAATTAAGCTTGACTCTAAACAAAATTTAAAAATAATTTTGCAAATTAAGTCTTTTAAATAATTTCTGAACGAAACTTTAACAAATTATAAAATATAATCTATTTATCAACATCAACACAAAGATGTTCTAAAAATATAACTGTACAAATTGTCCAAATTGTACATGACTGGGATAATAACCAGGAATGTTCACAGTATAGGTTGTAGGGGAATATGTTCTCTAATGTATCTAAAATGTGCAAAAAACAGAGATTTTTTTATCAAAAATGTAAGACAACATTTAAATAGTGAACTAGAAAACATTTAAGAGTAGTTTTTATCACTAGTTTACGTAATCTCGACATTCTACTAATTTTTAAAAATGTTGTCAAATTTTTACTTTAATCTACATATGTTTACAATTACAAATATAATATAGATTTGACAATAAAAATTTCTACAACCGGAGAGAGAAAATGAAATAGTCTAACATATAGGGTTCTCAAGGTTTACACAAATAGTAAATTTAGCTCAAAATTTGATGTATTAGAATTCCAAAGTTGAAATAGAGTTGAACTTTTTTCATTGCAATAAACATGCAAAATGTTCTAATGTTAACATTGCACTTATTCGTATATATGAACAATTAAATTATTCTAGGGATCATGAGTATAATTAAATCTTACACAAATGACAATAATTAAGTTTCAGCAGGTTAAAGTGCAGCTCTAAAAACTGTTTTCTGATTATGGCATTTTCCAATTTGCAAAATTACATGTTTTAACAACTTTACTTTTCTTTATTATTTCGACCAGTAGTCTGAAAGGGACCATATGTGTAATTTCAAGTTACCCTCCATTTATAGATTGAAGTGTTCGATTCACAACAGTACTTGTAAGGATGATCAAGGATGTCAGACTTATTCTTATTAATCTATGTGACTCTTGTGAATGTAAAAAACTTAATTTGCAAGCTGTTTTACATGCATGAAATCTTAACATTAACTTTCTTAATTTCACAGGGCCCAAATATTCACATTCAAATTATTTTAAAAATCATTTTTTCCTTTTTAAACAGTCAAAGGTTTAAAGGGTACCATTGCAAATATAGCATTGCCTTCTTTTACACGAAGAGTCACTTGAACTTACGCTTACAGTCCCTTTACGCTTTAACACCATTACCATATATGATTTAACTTTATACGTTGAAATGTAAAAGAAATCTTTTGGAATGGATGTGATTTTAATATAAATGGGTAAAATTGTTCAAAATTCAAGAAAACACCATTTCAAATTATTTTAAACAATGCAAGAATTCCTGCTATTCCTTAGTTAGGACTGGAGTCAGCTGATTAAGGGGAATATAGAACAAAGAGATCTGGTTCCGTTTCCGTTGTATCACAGTTGGTCATGTGGACTATCACGTCTTCAAGGATTCATCGGAATTCATCTTTTTCTTTGACCTGGAGAAGTGAAGAGAGTCGGTCCAGATTTTCGCGGACCTGGAAATGGAAAAGAAAATTAAAAAGTTATTTTTTTATTTTATTCAAATGACTGCAAGAAAATTTTCCCTTTATAATTACTTTAAAAAAGAATAATTCTAAAGAAACTGTTGTGTGCAATATATATTATTGTTTACACTATAACACTGTCACAATATCGAAATTCTATATTGTCCACTAAAATAATGAAGAAAACATTCTTCAATATGAAAAAATGGTTTCTTTTTTCCAATTATTCTTGAGCAAAGAAAATATCAAGCATTTGTCAAAGAAAATTAACAAAAAAATGCATAAATATTTCTCCTTTTCTTTTTGTAAAAAAAGATAATTCTAGAAGCTCCCCCAGGTAAATGTGCCTTAAAATTTTTTTTTGTATCAATATTTAATATTTTTTCAGAATTTACTTGACAAACTTTTTTAAAAATATTCAACCAAACCCTTCCCTACCCCCCTCCCTCCAGCACAAACCCTCCATTTTCAATTTCGTTCAAATTCTAAAAATCTGTTTATTATTTTATGAAATGGAATAAGGAATACAAGGATTTATCTTTACAAGGTTGACTTTTCTTATTCTTAAAGGGACCAGTAAAAGAAAAATGAAGGGGGTATAAGTTGAAACCTGAGAATATCAGGAGTTGAGTGATACCTATCAGACATCTATTTTTTGTATCTGTCTCAAGAAATTGATTTAAAACTGTGTAAAAGCAATTGAGTTTTTGTCACAAACTCTGATTTTCTAATTCCTATAACTTTCCAACCCATTTACCTAGACCTAAGTTTGAAATGATGAAAGGTTTCCAACATCAGGTTGCAAAGATATAGGGGTTAGAAAATGCGAGTTTGAGGCAAAAATTCCTTTAAATGAAAATGCATTTATATGCAACTGAAGTTCTGGTGACGTAATATGGACTATATGGACAATATGTAATAATTTTATCAATTATATCTATTAAAAATGCAAAATAAAAATTTAAACATAACTGAAGGAAACCTGAGATTCTCAGGGATATCGTCGTTTACAGATTGGTTGCATATTTGTTGAATATGATCTGTTTAATACTACATCTTTTATACAAAATTGCATATATATGAATTTTCGTATAAATTTGACAGTTTTATATCCATTTCCCGAGACAGGAACATCAGATAGATGTCTTATATGTATCGTTCAACGGTTGAGATTCTCAGTTTTCAGCCTATTATACCCCCTTTCAGTTTTCCTTTACAGTATCTTTAAAACAGATTTGCATGAAGGTAAAGGCACTTTAGATATAATTTTACATGACTCTTTAATCAAAGAGTGAGATGTCCGATCCACAACGGTATCCTTCAAGCCTTTCTCTGATTAAAGGTGATGTAGTTATCCCAGTTTTTCTATATAAAGAAAAGTGTAAGAAACAAACACTTTTCAAGCTAGAGAAACAACTATATCTTCCTCATTAATATTCATAAGGGCATTTAAATTGGGAAGTCTCTTTAGATGATTATATCTCTTAAAGCCGGTTATAATGTGAAGTTCAGGAGACTGTCTCCATTTTAGATATACGTCAGAAACCTTAGTTTGAACGGAAATGTATTAAAGTGACTTAACCCTGTAAAGGCTGGGGGTCTGAATCTATGTTTATACGGGGGGGGGGGGGCTTAGAAAATAGGTATAGGGTTGAAATGCATGATCATAGCCCATGTTTTGAAGGCCAGCTCATTGAAAAAAATCAGATCGATAACTTTTATAGTTTGGATGCTAGGGAGGATTGAAAATATGCATAAAAAAGCCAAAAGAATAAAAAAAAATTTTTTTGTTAAAAACAAATGTCAAAATGTGACACATGTTTCTACATCCATTTTTCAAGGTTTTCTTTTCAAATATATAGTTTTTAGATCTGTAGCTTTGGTCATAAATAAGTTGTTTTCTATTTTAGATTTTTTTACACAAACACGACTTTTTACTGCCCTGTACACTACTCTATGGATTAACAAAACGTTTTGACAAAAAATCCCTCAAATTTCTATTTATTAAGTCAAAATGAGTGGGCTAGGGCAAATAATCTAAAAGGCCCCCGCCCTGTTTCGGGTTAAAGAATATATCTTAAATCAGAAAAAGTGTTATGTCTTCTTGATATTTCTGAAAAGAACCAATTCATAGAAATACCAAGAAAAAATACCTTTGCTAATTGATGTAGGTTACTCTGTAAGTATTGATCCACCTTCAGACTGGATTGATAATGTAAAACCTTCTGCCAGCTTGAGATCTGCTCCAGGTTCTCTGGATAGCTGGGAAGGAATGCTTCAACCTTCTCCTGTATTGAGCCCAACCGGAACACCAGGTAGAAGGAGGTGCACAGGAGAAGAAAAAGGAGAAGGGTGAGACAAGAGAGAAATTTAGAATGAGTAGGAAGGGACAGCAATGAAAATATTAATCTTGAAAGTTTTCCCTTTCCTTTAAGGTTTCCTTCTTTGCTGTTGGGTAAAGTAGGAGGAGGGGGAGGTGATGTTCTGGCCTGATAGAACAGAGCTCCACTTGTGTTGGACACCCGTTTCATAAGGAAAGGGCTCCTGGAGTCCAGCTCAGGTTGGCGAGAAAGTCCAATTGGTAAAATCTGAGATGCTGATACCATTGAGTCAGTTGACTCCTCATCAACAAGTTCACGATCCACTCCATCATCTTCATCCTCATCACCATTCTCAATCACTCCATTCTAAAATTTTAAGAAGTTTTTAATCACTAACTGGCACTGTACTAACAATTTGTTAAAATTACTTTATCATTACACCTAACATGTGTTTTGACAGTGGAAGTTTTGTGGGTGGTAAAAACACTAAAATATGTAATTTACAACCAATCCAACCATTTTACAGTTTTAATTTTTAACAATGTTTGAATTGTAAAAAAAAACTATTATCAACATTTTTTATGACCTCCTAGAAAATAATTTTGAGTACAATGAAAATCAGAAAACTTTAGAATAGAATTTGATGTTAATAAACAGCTTTGCTAGCAATTAATTTACCAAGTCAGGTTAAAGTCATAACTTGAGTCTCTCTATGTCCAATGATTTCTGGTTATCATTGTATAATATTAACTATAACCATAGCCATTTTTACAGCTGCAGTCAACTATAAATGTAAGATAAGTCTCATTCTTTGTGAATAACCCTGTAATTTTAATGTTTTAAAAGGTTTCCTTGAATGGTAACTAATTATTTATCACTTTAATGGATATTTCAAATCAATCTTAAACTACTAGTTTTCCAATATTTTCTCAGTGTAACATGGAATTAAATACAATTCAGGACACTAACTTGTTTTGATCATTCTAGTATAGAGGCGGGCGTGTTCATTTTCGTTAGAGATGGCAGCTTTCGGATTTTTTCATGATATTCTTTCATTGTTCATGAACTAACCATTTCATTGTTTCAGAAAGAAGGTTGTCTATTCAGAAAAAAAACAATTTTGTTTTTAAATCCCTAGTTTATAAAAAAAAACATTGTTTTATCAAAATCCTATGGAAAATTTATTCATTCAACTTTACAATTTCAAATCAATAATTTAGTTTTTTTTCTAATAATTTTTTTATGTGCGTAATTACGATGATACTAATGTTCACGGTGGTTTTTAAAATCTGTTTATATATATATGTGTGTCCCCAATAAACATAATAAATTAGTTATGACTTAAAAATAATATTTATAAATCTTTAATAACTACTAAAAATTCTAAAATTTCTTTAACTTTTAATTTTTTGATAACTTTTGGAAAAGGAAGGAATCAAATTTGAAGAATGATAATTCTTTTGTTTTTATAGAACTCAGACTTTAACCCACCCTTGCAGGTGAATCTGATGGCAACTACCCCAACTACCGTCTGTTTTTTAAAGAGACCACATCCCCACTCTGTGTTTATTCTATGCGATAGTATACAATATGGGTATCGATTCACTCTCCGACCTTTACTATCCTCACCACCCACCTTCTGAAGGGTGCACATTTCGTCGTCAAAAATAAGGCATTTTATACGTTCACCTCCCATCCCCCCCCAAAAAATTGTTGAGATCTAAACCCCCCCCCCTAGCCTCCCATAATGTATCTGCAATAAAATCTTGACTATCTGATCTACTTATTCCACTCTTCCTTGAATCTGTTGATTTACTTCTTATTTTCCCCAACATTGTAAAAGCAAATTATATTAACTATCTTAGTTTATATATAACAATACCAAGAATCCTGTGAAATCTCTGTTAACATAGCACAACGGGTTTAGTTGAAATGAAATACACTAATCCCACGCACTGAGTCAAGGTCGAAAACACAGACTTCTCAAACATAGAACAAACATATATTCATAATCAATATTCATTAAATATATAACCATTTACCCCGGAACCCAAGTTGTTCTCCGTTTACACAAACAACAGAATCAGTTGATTAAACACTGAATCCTATTATCTGAGTAAAGTTCAAAGCTTAGATTCCATCAATCATCTCCACAGCATCAACACAGAAACATATCCTCGGATTGCAAAAAATCTACGTTCAACTGAACTCGCATTGCCAACTGACTAAACTCTTAGTCCTCAATAAATTTACTATTTTTCTTTGAATAACATTTTTACTCTATCAAAATTTCTCTAATCTGAAACTCTAGAACTCTGTCTTAACCTCTCAAAAAAGAGAGAAAAAATACCTTTGAAAAATATGTATTGATGATCTGGTCTCATGGATATTACAGGATATACTCTCTTGCAAATAAGAGTTGCAAACCCTTTTATACCCAAGCGAGCTTAGCCTAGCCAAGCAAGCTTGGGTACAAACAAAAAGGTTGTTGCAGATCCACCCCTGATCATGATGTTCTAGTTTTAGAATTAAACTCTCTATGAGCGGGGGAAGGCAGGTGGCCATGAGCCACCACTATTTCCCCTTCCATGCTACATATTAGCTTTTTTCTCTTCCGGTAGCCATGAGTCACCACTATTTCCCCTCGTCATCCCCAACTCATCCATTTTTTCAATTCTACTAAGATTAATATTTGTGTGTTGAATTCTTAAACTGTTTTAAACTGAAATTTTTGACAAATTTGACTGAGTATTGCATCTTGAAATATCACAAAGTCTAATTATTATTGGTTAATGAGTGATTTTACGATGGATTTAGTATGAGTCAGTAATTGAATAGGTGGTGGGGTGGCCTGGTAAAATGTTTCCCATTCAGGCACATTTTTACCCCCCCCCCTGGACTAAATCCTGAATACGCCTCGGATTTGATGTTAAAATCTTCCTATTTAGTTTGCTAAACAGGTTGCTAAGGAACCACTTCATAGAAACGTCTCAGCACGGATAAACTTAGAAAACGTTTTCTCCGATATATCTAAAAATTCATTATGAGGTGTTTTCTCTTTTTTTGAAGCATTTCTTGAATTTTTTCAAGGCATTTGAGTTTTTAAAAAACACTGTTAAAACTTTATTCAGTTGAGTTGTTCCTTCGTTTTTCTATCAATTCTGGAAATTTTTTGAGGTGTTTTCGTTTTTCTGAATTATGAACTTCATTTAGAGGTTGTGGAAGATGACAGTTTCACAACTTCAGCATCAGATATTTTCAAACCAAACCTCAGTTCTACAGATCGTTTCAACATATGTGTCTTGAAGACTTCAAGAAGGTTTCTCTTTATTCAGGGGTTTCCTGAATTTTTGAGGCATTTCCGTTTTTCTAAAAAAGTTTCTAAATCTTTGATTAGTTCAGGTGTTGCTAGGGTTTCCATTTTGGAAATGGAATGATCCGGAAATTTGCGTAAACCAGAATCACAAATCAAATGGAAACCGGAATTTTTCCCGTTTATGTAAACTGTAAAACAGTTTCCATTTCGTAAACCAGAAATTTTAACACAATGTTAGACATAGAAAGCAATGTTAAAACATTAAAAGTTAAAACTTATTAGTTGACATACATTAAATACGCATTCTATTCTATAGTTGTATAGTTACAAATAGTTTATACTATAGTCCATAATGACTAGTTTACATTTACAGTTATAACTTTCACTTTCCCCAAAATATTTTTTGACAAATTATTTTTACTTTTCAAGAGGGCCATCAGCTTGATTTGATAAGGATGGGATGAAATGAACCATATATATAAGAGTTTATAAAAACTAGGCTTTAATTTGGTGAATTAAAAAATAATAAAATTCAACCTTTTTTCCTGCACTCTTTTTTAAACCAATTTTAAACCTTCCCTTGGGCCATGTGAGTTGCCTCACAAATTTAGGACATGGTCGGTTCCACTGTTTTGATGTTTATTGGACACAAACAGACAAACAAACAGACGAGCAAAGTAAATAAATAGAGTGAGAACCAAATAACTCTGGAATAGGAGGACGACTTTTAGACTTATGTTATGACTTTAAATAGTTCAATGAACATGAGACACAGCAATTACGTAATGCATACTATACTGTATACTAGAGATGTCAACGATAGTGTAAGGTAATGTAAAATGTACGTTTTTGTACGTTACTTTACAATAATATGAAACGTTTGGATATATTCTATATAACGTGAACGTTAAACTTTAACATTATGGGAGCTCATACCTAACATTAACGTTAAACATTAACGTTAGATGAACATACCCCCAACGTTAGCGTTTTGTGGTAATGTAATGTTATTTTTCTAATATGTTAAGTTTCCATGGGGAGCTTGAAAGTCAAACGTTTGAAAAATTAATAGTCATTTTATTTCATATAGTAACTAAAGGATTTTCTATTTCAAAGAGAGGAGAGGATATGTCTCTAGTTCTGTTTAAGGGTATGACATGATTCTAGGTCTTATTCAGGTTAGGAAATGTCTATAGTTTCTGTTTCAGGAAAGGAACATGTCCATAGTTCTGTTTAAAGANAATGGATAGTTATCATGCATGCCAAATGGTAAAAACAAGTATTTAGGTTTTTGTCATTATCGGGAATTGCTCTAGGTCTGTTTCATTCCTGAGAACAATTCTTTGTGTCCCACACATAATCATGCACAGGCCTAGAGATTGTATCAAATGAGAATTAATGAGATAACGTTTATCAGATTAGAATTCAGCATTAAATGTCCAAGAAAAGGATGTATTACATGAAATTAGAAAAGTGATGGCCTTACAGTGAGTTCGCCAATATTAATAGTTAAATCGCAACCCTATGGACGATTTTAAAATATTTTTTTTGATAGCAATTTCTTTGTAGTAAAATTGCAGACACCTCGTGCGTGTGGTGGATTAAATTTTAATATTCATCACGACAATGTCTAAAGATGTGCAAATTCACTTTAAAGAAACGTGCGCAAAAAATGAGAAATTTTAAAAATACAAATATTTTATTGCAAAAACAGAAATGGATTAAAATTATGATAAATTTCCTTAGTAAAAGTAAAGTAAAAAATTATTTATTTATGAAATATACCAAAAACATACAAAATAAAGTGTATCAGGAGAAAATATTTAAAAACCTATAAAAGTAGAGATTGTGGGAATATTTTCCCCCAATTCTAAAAAAATATAAATATAGAAATAGAAGTAAAAGGAAAGGAAAGGATAAGGAAAGTTACACATTTATTGTTTTCACTATATTTAATATAAATTAGTGGTGGATTGATGTATTTTTTGACGATGAGCTATCTTTTAGAAATAAAAATTATAGATTTATTTGTTATGTAAAAAAAGTAAAG